TCCGTGTTCCCCACGTGTGGCGGACTCAGATTATTATGGGCTAGGTCCGAAAATTAGGCCTAAAAGGGGGTAGTTTGAACCCGAATTTTATTCTTTTGCCCGGATCCGAGAATAAGAACACGATGTTGCTTACTAATCCTATGTAAGTAAAATAACTACAAAAATAAGACTAATATTTAAAACAAAACTATATCTTTTTTTAATATTTTTTCAAGATTTAAAATAACTACAAAATATCAATAAAACTATTTTTTAATTTTCGTTTTTGTATAAAGGTAAAAAATATAAAGTAATATTTTTTGTATTTTTAAGAAATTAAGATGACTACAAAACATTAATAGAACTACATTTTTTGGTTATTTTCGAAATTATATAAAGTACCAAAATAAAGTGCAATTTTTGTATTTTTTCAAGTTTATGAGAAATACATAAACTAAAATTTATATATGTATTTTTGTGATTCTTTCTTTTTGCGACGAAATAAAGTAAAATAGTTAAAATGGCTATATTAGCCCCAATTTCACATATTCACGCTAAAAATGTGAAAATCCTCGAGGAGGGTCAAAAATCCGGTGTCTACAGTATTATTTAATACTGTCAACCAAGTGTATTATTGTATTAATTATACATAAAATAAATTTTCTTATGCAACCAACCAAATATTACATTTGTATTATTATTATATGAATGTATTAAAATGTATAATTATTTTAATTTTCGTTCCTGGTAGTTATTTTAATTCATTTTTACATTTTTTGCTCTTAAATTTTATTAATTAATTGCATACGTTTATATATTTATATTTATTAATCTCTATCTAATTTAATTTTTTTATCAATCAACATACCATGGGCTAATACGTGTCCCTCTCAGTTTAGCGTTTTCTTTTTCTTTCGGTATACCATACCAGTGTAGCAGTTTAATCATAAAATCGTGTTCCTTTGAGATCTGTTCAATTCCCGAATAAACCCTACCTTGATGTAATTCTCTGCTTCTGAATTCGCAATTGGATTTGAACACAAAAATAGAAAACCCAATTGAGACCGGAGAAAATTTTCCGGTCGTTTTGGGGGGAATATGATAACAAGGTCTAAACTGGTGGAGCAGCTCAGAGATTACCAGATCAGATCTCAACACAAGTGCCCCCCTCTTTCTTTCTTTTCCCCTAAGCCTCTTCTCTCAAACTGGTACGTCTCCATTTGTCTGTGTATATGTATGTACGTCTCTCTATATTAACATCAAATTAAACAATTTTAGCAGGAAAATGTTTCTGCTTAGATTTTTTTTTGTGTTTATTTTAATTAATTTCTTTATTCCTGAGCTATTTGTGCAAAAAATATGATTTGTGATGTACTTAATTATTTGCATTACCACCGGGTATCTACTGCTACCTGCCATCAGCACATGTACAGGTAACTTTGCCAGCAGATGAGAAGAAATTACCTGAATTTTTTGTCATTTTAACCTTACCTGCTTCATTGACTGTTAGGCTACATCTTTGGGTGCATTATATTATGTTTCTGAATACTTCCATTTTAATTTGGGGAATTACTTTAGCTGTAGATGTTCAAGTGGTTCACCTAGATTGAAATAATTTAACTTAGACAAATGATGATTCTAAAAGTTTCTGCTGAGGCGCAAGGTAAGTAGCTCTAAGTGCGAAGGCAATGGACATGGACTCACTAAATCCAAAAAATTATCATCGGGAAAGCTTTTGGCTTGACACAAAGTCACCTTTGGTGCAAATTGCCAAGGCATTCTACAAAATAAGACCTTGTTATCACCAGTTTCTTTTTTTTTTCTTCTGCAGATTGAAGTGATTAAAAGTCTTGTTTGTTTTTTCCCCTTTTCTCTTGCTTTTGCTTTATGGGTTTGGGGAGTCTAAGGACATGAGTAAGTTTGATTTTAGATGCTAAAGGGAGCATCGCGATAACATTTCTACAGAAGTTAATTCCTTCGTTGAAAGTTAGAACCCATTCATTAAAAAGTAGAACAATTATTTGAAAGAAAAAGGGGAAGCTTGCTGCTTTCCTCCCTTCACTGTTCCACGTATAATTGGAACACTTCAATTTGAATTTCCTTGGACTTTCTCCGCACTTCTGACCGGACAATAAAATTTTTTGTTTTGCAGCAAGACTCTTTATAGGTTGATCTCCCATTGAGATGTGCTATTTACAATGTTTTGATATATTAATAGTTTTTTAAACCTTCTTTTTCTCCTCCATTGATGCTCATGGTGGATTATTGGTTCCTCCTCAAAATTTCAAATAGTAGTGTATTCACAATGTAATCCAGTGATGCCTTGCTTATGGTTTCCCCTATCCAATTTTGGATATAACTACATATATCCCACCTTCATGGATATGTCTAATTCATTGAGTCTCTCTCTAAGCTGGTGGCTGTCGTAAGATTGTCACTAGCCTTAAGTCAGCATAAGGTTACATTGCCATTCCTAGGGCATCTATTGTCTGTTTCTATGTCCCATCGCCTTTAGGAGATTGCTGGTGTCAGATTTTAGAAAGAAAGTCTAATTTAACAGGTGTGAGAGCGATATTTCCAAAATAGATTCCCATAAAGGATCCTCGATAATACAGCATGACCTTTAACTTTGAAATAGGCTCCTTCTTCTTTTGAGCTAATGAAAGAGGGACTAACCACTTTGCATCTGGGGATGCACTCCATGCTTACTCCATTGTAAAGATACTGAATCTTTCACTGCCAATGAGTGGAACCTAAATTAAGAAATGCCAGTCTTCTGGTGGGTCTTATTTTCCTTCTTTTAAGACATATGCGAATCAGGAAGCCCCAATTTACATGGTTGTAGGATATCCAATTTACATAGTATCCTTGGACTTCTCCCTTTAACTCTGGTATTCACACACTCATTTGCTGTTAATGTCGCATCCAATATCTGCATGTCTCTGATGAATGCCATTTGTTGGCAATTCACCAGCATATGCATCACCCTCTTCGATCTTTGTGTGAGCACTTTGGAGATGATCTTATACACATCCCTATCACACTGATAGGTCTAAAATCTCTCAATTCCTTGGCTCCAAGCTTTTTATTTTAGGAATAAGAGCCACATATGTCGTATTGAAGCTTTTTCGAAAATATTCATGGGTCAGGAAATTTTCGAGAGTCTTCATAGTATCATCCTTGACGGTTTCCCAGTAGCTATGAAAGAAACCCAGTGAATAACATCAGGCCTAGGTGCCTTGTGTGTTGCACATTATCTTGATACATTCTAGTATCTCTCTTTCTTCAAAAGGTCGTTGTAGCCACTGCTCCTCTTCGTCATTAATCCTTGGACCACTCGCAAAGGTGAATTCAGATCTCCAATCTTCAGTCTCTGTGTATAACTTCTGATAAAAGGATACAATCTCCCTTTTAACAGCCCCTTGGTCTTCCACGGGCTCACCATTTACTCTATGCTTATCAATAGTGTTGGCTCTTCTATGAACATTTACCTTTCTTTGGATAGTGTTTCTTTCATCCTTCTTTGGCCATAGCACCCGTTATCTCTGTCTCCCATGCTATCTCCTCATTTTTAGCAATCTCCTCTATGTATAAACCAGCCTTCAGGACTAATTCATCTTCCTTTATAGCTCTCTGTTCCTGAATATTATCCATCAGGCCATCACTTCCATTTTTTTCTAGGAGTTCTGATATCTTCTTCTCCAGGCTGAAGTTCATGTAAGTGTTTGTCTCTGTCATTCTGTCTTTATAGGTGAATTTTCTTATACTTGGGTTGCTATCTTCTTGCTGGCCCTTTTCAAATTGCATCATCATTTGCTTAGTCTGACTCCCATAGAACACTTAAAAATTGTTAGTACACTGTATTTGTAAAATAATTCTGGAGAAGGAAAATAACGTATAAACAGAAATGTAGAAGAAACAAAATTTAATTCGAGCCCACTAAATTCACAGTGTTTCCTTAAGGAACTTAATCCCCTCCTAGTACCCAAGGTTGTGGATTATTTCCTCCCAGGATAGAATGGATTACACACTGGAGTAGCGGTACTTCAAACCCCAGTGTTTCAACGAACGTAAATGGCGGCAGCAAATCACACTTACGTTGTTTGTTTTGTAAGAAAACAGTGCAGAAAGGAAGAGGAGAATTCAGAATTTTTGTAAGGAAAATCTGAGGGAATGGTCTGCTATTTATAGCCAACATGTTGAGTTTAAACGAAGAGGTGCAACTCTTCAGAAGGTCTGTCATGACTTTAAACGAAGAGGTGCAACTCTTCAAAAGGTCTGTCATTATAGGTGAATTTTCTTATACTTGGGTTGTTATCTTCTTGCTGGCCCTTTTCAAATTGCATCATCATTTGCTTAGTCCGAGTCCCATAGAACACTTAAAAACTGTTAGTACACTGTATTTGTATAATAATTCTGGAGAAGGAAAATAACGTATAAACAGAAATGTAGAAGAAACAAAATTTAATTCAAGCCTACTGAATTCACAGTGTTTCCTTAAGGAATTTAATCCCCTCCTAGTACCCAAGGTTGTGGATTATTTCCTCCCAGGATAGAACGGATTACACACTGGAGTAGCGGTACTTCAAATCCCGGTGTTTCAACGAACACAAATGGCTGCAGCAAATCACACTTACGTTGTTTGTTTTGTAAGAAAACAGTGCAGAAAGGAAGAGGAGAATTCAGAATTTTCGTAAGGAAAATCTGAGGGAATGGTCTGCTATTTACAACCAACATGTTGAGTTTAAACGAACAAGTGCAACTCTTCATAAGGTCTGTCATGAGTCATGCCTGTTCACGTAAAACGGCCATAACGTAAATGGCTATTTACGCAAAATAAAACGGGAATTCAAAACGCGGAGGAAAATTAATTTTCCGTTACAAAAACGGCTAATTTGGATTAAATAATATTCGTCAATGTCATATCTCATCCTTTGGCTTTCTGTACCTGATTATTATCTTGTTTTAATTCCTAATTATTTTGTATCCTAATGTTGTCCAATGTTTCAATCTTCTCCTGGTTGTTGGAATTCCTTCTCTCCTTTGTTAGTGGTATGTCAGGAAAAGCACTTGTTTAATGGATGAGAGGCTACATGTAGTATAGCGTTAGTCAATCATCTGTTATATGTAACTTGTAAATTTCTTTGGTGTATTATGCTTCTCATATATTGACAAACTTGGATGCACGATATCTGGGTCTGCTTTAGGACACTTACTGAATTATCATGTCCTTCTCCCCTTCAGTTTTGTCTTCAGTTGTTGGTCATTAGATAAATATTTGCATGATGTAACCTTTGTACCACAATTTCATATAACCTTCTAAACAGTTTTAGAAGATCTGTGCATTTTTTAATGCTGTAACAAACTTGTAATTGTCTCAAATTGTGTAGGGCTGATGTTGTGGCTGCTGTGTTCTACGCCTTGCTATTCACTGTGCTTATAGTATCATCATATTTTGCCCTTTATTTGCAACATTACTGGAGTTCCTTTCTCATCATAGGCCTTGCCATTTCCCTTCCAGTTCGTTTGAGAATTTTACGGCAGGCTCATGCAAGAAAGAGAGTGAGACAATTACCTCTGTCTATGTGAACTTCCATCTGCAGCTGCAAGTGCCAAACATCGGTTTAAGTGAAAGGAATACCTCTTGCACAGAAGTGCACTTTGATTGTAGAAGTACAATTCTTTGACCTTCGTCACATATGCCGATCAAGCTTCTGCTGTGAAAAATGGGATACCATCTTCGCATTCCTCTTGATGATCCATTCTTGAAGAAGCATTATTAGATGATGAATTAGTTGTGAAATGAACAAGCAGAGTTCAGAGTTCAAGGTTTCAGAAATTCTGATATTCTTGCTTTGTTGTAAACTAAATTTGGTGGCAAATAAAGATGCTCAGTTCTGGATGTTACTGCGGATTGTAGTTTGAGGCGTAGGTAGAGTTTAACAAATCATATCTGAATGACCAGATAATAGCAGTTGAAGGGTTGAAATGACTTTGGTTCAGGAGTATTTTACTGAACTGTATAGGAAAGTTGAGTTCTGTATGATCAGACAATTCGTATTTTGCGTTTCAAATAGTATATTCAAAATTTAGATGTTTTCAAAGTAATCTGATTGCTAAACTTCTTTTTTCAGTTATTTATTTTCATAAAGCATTATTTCAGATACATAAGCACATTAAAGTTTGGCCAAATACATCGGCAACCCCTTAAAGTTATCCTCACTTTTTACTTTGACACTCCATCTTAAGTCCGTTCCATTTAAACACTCCAACCACACCTCGAATGTGTCATTTAAACATAAAATTCACAAGCAACCAACATAAACAATGCGTGTAATTCACTCGCCACAGTGACGAATAAAAAAGAGACACATGAATTTAACTTGAATTAATTGATTAATTAAAAAAAGTTTTTGAAAAAAAAAATTAAAGAAAAACAAGAACCCTATCCAACCCTCAGTCATCTTCCCCCAACACCCTGTCTTCATCTGCCAAAAGAAAAATCAAAGCTACCAACATGTCTTCTTCCCACCATGTTTCTTTCTCCTAATCTTCACCCCCAAAGTGCAATAATTAACGGCATCCTCTTTGAAGATCTAATGAAACGATGTTATTTAAATCAAATGTTTTGAGGATGAAATAAAAAGCAACAGGATAATAGTAAACTATCCCCATTAGTGTTCCTACAATCCCAAACTACCCTGAAGGGAGAATTTTGTGTCAATTTTTTTGGGGGTTCAAAATCCCTTCTGATTTTCTCCTTCTTTAGATTCACGAAAATTCCCTGGGAAAAACAAAGCCTCGCCCTTTTTTGAGATGTAAATATGATTTTTCTTTAGATTCAAGTCACAAAGTTTAATTTCGTTAATGTTGAGAAAATTGGAACTTCGCCGGAAAAAATAAAGTTTCGCCGAAAATGTTAAAGGGGTTGCTGGACGTAGTTGTTGGGGCTGCTCGTTTAAAGACTTAAAGGGGCTGCAGAACGTAGTTGTTTTGGGGGTTTATAGTGAAACTTGGTAAAGCTCACATGGAGTTAATTGACAGGATATGGTGGAATGAGAAGATGGAGAGGTGAGAGAAAGAAAGTTATTTTGTTTTTTCCCTCTATTCACATTTATTTATTCGTTGGGACCCATAACAATAGCATCCCACGCTATCTAAAGAGGTGGGCAACACACACTATGCCACATCATTGAATTGTGTTTAAATGACACATTTGAGGTGTTGTTGGAGTGTTCAAATGGAATAGACTTAAGATGGAGTGTCAAAGTTGTTTGACCAAAAGATGATAATCTTTGGTTAAACTAATTAATCAGTTATTAAAGAGAGTTAATCCTAGTTAAAGCTAATAACTTCAGATCTTGGGTTGACAGTACGAAAGGTTTGAGCAATGAAGAAACAGAAATAATGGGCAGGCAATAAATGAGTCGAATGTAATAATGTGCATAAAGTATCAAGTATTAAATAACAATAAATGTCAATAAATGTAAATAAGAAGAAAGATTCACCCAATATCGAATAAGGTGAATGATTCTTCAATCTGACAATGATGAATGACAAGAATATAAGAGAATATTGAGCACTTTTTCGGATCTGGTGAAAATGACAATAGATAATCCAAAAAAGTCGAATCTCTCTAGAAAGTTGTTCCCTGTGTTTATCTAAAGAGCTTACTTTTAAAAAGTGTTCTTATCATATATCATATTACATGCCCTTTACCTTATTTCTCATTCTATTTATATGGGATATTCCCAAATAACCCTAAAAGTACAAACAGAAAGAATATTTAAGAGAATATTCCTTCTGAAGATCCCAATACAAAATTAGTCGTTATTACTATCTGCTCTACTCAACCTCGACCGTAGTTGATCGCTTGGTGACTCGTTCCGTTGATTACTGGTAGACTTCGGCCAAATTGCCCATGATAAGTTACAAATTACTCACGATAATCACCTCTTCATGCTGAATTTCCTCCGTTGGATTTTGACCTATACAGTTAATCCCTCCACTTATCGAGGTTGTTCTTTGGTTGACCTCGGTGAGCGGACTTCATTAGTTGTAGTCAATAAATTCAGGTGGGCAGGTCGAGTAGTAAAGATCACGGTCGAGATGGTAATGTGGCGCTTTGCGGGCCACAACTTATTGTGACGTTGGTTATGACTGATGTCACATCGTCATACATCATTATTACACATCTTCCCGATGCGGTGCATGCGTCATTATTACGCATCTTCCCGATGCGGTGCATCGCTTCCTGTGCCCCTGTCGTTTTGATCTTTGTGTTTCGGTGGTTGATTTTCTCGATTGGGTGTCTGTGTTCTCTATAAATAGGGATTGCGAACCCCTTGTATGATCCTTTATGTTTTCTAGCATTTGAACCTGCATATTTTCGTCCCTTCTTCTTCTTCTTCTTCTTCCTGTATTCTCGCTCCCGTTGTTTCCATTTTCGCACCTTTGTTCTCCTTTCCGATTTGTGCGATTTCTGCTACATCTACCTCTTTTTGTTCATATCTTCTGCATTTATAACTAACAAAAATGGTTAATACACCTCTTGTCTCTGATGGGGTTCTTGAACCAACTCCACTAGTAGTGAGAATGCCCCCTCATGATGATGATGAAGTTGTCGCTGCAGAGGATGAGATCTTTCCCATCGTGGAGGAAATCGTTCCTCGTAACTATAAATCCAGGTTAGACTTCTCGAAGCCAGCTACAGATGAACTTGAACCTGTGCAGTCCAAAATGGACGCGGCCGCCTTGGCCGAACTTGGGGCCAAATACAACATCCCAACCCATATCGACTTGGTCCCGGCTGGCCGTGACATAATCCATATCCATCGCCCTGGGTACTGTGCCTTCTACGCGTACCCATTCCAAGTAGGCTATTCTCTTCCTCTTCCCCCGCTTGCGGAGGAATTCTGCCGCTACTACCACATCTACCTGGCCCAACTCTCCCCATATATTTATAAACTCTTCCTCATGTTGATAAAGTACTCGGAGCTGGCCAATCGCGGGATTTCTATCCGCCATCTGCTATACCTTTTTGCGCTAAGCTTTCACATGGGTATGATGATATACCTATGACACCGTGGGACCAAGGGATTGGTGGTGAAGATAGATGATAAGGCAAATCGTTGATTTTGGTTCAACTTCTTCTTTATTAAGACCGAGCACGTGGTGGCGAATCCCAGTGGGTTCCCTGAAGTGTGGAACTTCGTCCGTAAGTGTTTTTGCTAACTGGTTGCTTGTTTTGTTTCTCACTGGTGGCTTAATCATTCTTCTTCCTCTTTCGTGCAGCCGAGAAGGAGCCTCCCACGTTGGTCGCCGATATTCGCCACTGGGTGAGTCAAATCTTATCCCACACGGCGGGGATCCGTGAGTGGTCGTTGTTCAACAAGAAGTTTGGACGTAAACCTTCTTCGACCGATAAGTCAACTTTTTTCGATCTTCAATTGCTTCGACCTTCATACCGTCTTTTTTTCACTTTATTTAGTTTCTGTCTTTGCTGTCAGGTCGGAAGGCACCGAGGAGAGTGAAGGCTCCTACCCCCATTTTTCATCAATCGGGTACCTCGACCGGGTCACTGGTCGCTGCGACTGCAGGCAAGTCTGTATAGATTGTTGCTTCTTCTCAGACCCCGGACCTGCGTAGGCCTGGCTGTCGGGTGGCTGCCTCATCAGCGGAGACTCTGGCTTCTCTTATACTACACTAGGTAAATGAATCATCGCCGAGTGAAGAGGAGCCGACTCCGCTAAAAATACAGAGAGTAGAGATCGGTGACGTGATGGCTGGAGTCGAAGAGTCAACAAGGGGCGATCCAAAGCTGGCCACGGCTGCATCTGAGGGCGATGTGGGTTTGAACACAAAGACTTTGTTGCCTGCAGAGGTTGCAGAAATTGGTCCTTCGCCCGAAGTCACTGCGAAGAAGGAGGGCGATCAGAAGTGGCGGAGGCCATTCTTAGAGGCCATCCGTCACCATCCGGGCAAGCTGACATTCATTCATTGGTGGAAGAGAGAGGGAAGGGTGTGCCCGTGGATGGCTATGAAACCAGTTCCGACATCAACCCCGAAGAGGTACGGATGTTCGGTGAGGGGTTTACTCGGGTAGAAGTAAGGACGGAGGGATCTACTCGCACCGTAGTCATTCCATTGGACTGCGACTTGTTAGTGAATATAGAGAGTGTAGTTCTTTCTTTGGTTACTCTATACTCTAGCGCTGAGAATAGGACTTTATGGACGTTTAATGATGCCGATCTGTCGTTAGTCATATCCGAAATGACTTTGATGGTATGTTATTTTTGTTTTTGTTGTTCTTGTACCTTACGTTCTTTCCTTTTTGTTTTTACTTACTCTTTTTGGCTCTTCCTTTTTCACTAGACTCTCATTTTGGAGATCGAGAGCACCCGCCTAGAGGAGAAGCCGAAGGTTGTTTTTAAGAAAATGGTTTTGAAGTTTCGTGAGTACCGTGCCAAGTACCATGAGATATGCACTATTTAGACACGAACGGTAATTTCCAGTCTCTTAGAGATGAGTTAAGGCAGAAGGACAATGAACTCGTGAGGGCCATCGGCAAATGTAGCGAGCTCGAGGGAGCTCTTAGAGCTAAGGAGGATGAGGTGAGTAGGGGGGTCGCAGTTGAGTGTGCCGATCTTCACGCCCAGGTGGCATTCTTGCGGGCTGAACTTAGACAGAGTTCGACCAGGGCCAATGACTTGAGTGATGAGTTGATTGAGAAGACAACAAAGTTGGAGAAGGTCGATGAGCCCAAGATCGCGGCTTTAGCAAGGGTGGCGGCATCAGAGGAGGTCATCTGCGTCCTCAGATCTGAACGAGCAAGTGAAGCTGAGGCGGCCATGCTCATGGAGGCAAGGCTTGCTGAGCGAGTTGGCAATCTTGAGGGAGAGGTTTTGAACTTAAATGATCAGGTCTCCGTTCTTGAGGCCGAAAGGGCGCAGCTATTGGCTCGAACATTCTCCTCTCACACTTTTGCTTATCCTGACGTTGCGCGGGATTCGTACGAGAAGTGGATCGATGACGAGGCCCAACTATACATATTTAGGGACTTGATGGCGGCATGTCGAGTTAATGAGGTTGAGTTCGAGGGTGCTCGT